GAATTGATTTAAATCAAATCAAAATCCCACAAAACAAGGTTTTAAATGGGGAAAGTTATCTAGGTTAAGCATCCTACAAGGGCCTATAAATAGGAGGCCTCAAGATGAAAGAAGGGTCCAGAAAAAACCTAGCATTGAGAAGAAGAAGAAAACTCCCTGCATTCTTCACCTACACTTTGGAAGAGCCACCAAGCACAACAAATATGTGCCGGTTCCTCCACCCCAGAAAATCCCAAACACCAAACAAGCCTTGTGCTACCCGTTTGATCAAGATCAAGTCTCTACGACCCTTGCATCAAACACAAATTTTCTTTATACATTTTGGAGATCGAATCAGAGGATTCATCTGGACTAATAAAAGAAATCAAAGACTTCAATTAAAAACTGCCCTCCAGATCAGGGCTCAATCTCAAAGGAGGTATTTTTCCCTCCCTTGAAAATCTCACTCATCTCTCTCTTTTGAACCTCTCTCACAATTCACTCTACGGTTCACTTGAACCCCGTTTCTTCTTGTCCTTAAATTGTCTTGAGATCCTTGATTTGAGCTATAACCGTCTGTTTGGAGAGCTACCACTTTTCATTCCATCCAGCACTCGCATGGTGGACTTGTCCAACAATAAATTCCATGGTGTGATTCCATCGTCATTCTTCCGACGAGCTACGAATTTGACTAGTTTCAATGTCGGGAACAACACCTTCTCAGGTTCTATCCCATCCTCTATATGTCTTCATTCTTCTCCCCTGATTAGGCTGTTGGATTTTTCCATCAATGAATTCAGCAGCAATATTTCTGGTGGACTAGGGAAGTGTTCGAAACTACAGGTTTTTCGTGCTGGTTACAATAGGCTCTCTGGACAACTTCCAGAAGATATCTATAATGCTACCACACTTGAAGAAATCTCATTACCTAGCAATGCGCTTCATGGAGACATTAGTGATGAAATTGTCAACCTCACCAACCTCACAATCCTTGAACTATATGTTAATCAATTTAGTGGCATGCTCCCGATGAATATGGGCAAGCTCTCCAAATTGAAACTCATTCTTCTTCATTTCAACAATCTAACAGGTTCTCTGCCCCCATCTTTGTTGAATTGCACAAACCTTAGAGAATTGAACCTCGGATTCAACCATTTTGTAGGAAAGCTCTCCATGCTTGATTTCTCCAAACTTAGTCGCCTTACTAAACTTGACTTTGTGAGTAATCAATTCACTGGTGTCTTCCCAACTAGCCTTTACTCATGCAAGTCCCTGAAAGCACTTCGGCTGAGCTTAAATGACTTAGACGGACAAATACAGCCTGAGATTCTTTCACTGAAATCTTTGTCCTTCCTCTCGCTTTCTGCGAGCAGATTGTCCAATATCACAAGGGTACTTAATATACTGATGGGCTGCAAAAGTTTGAAGGTTCTCATCCTTTCAAACAATTTTATAGGTGAAGAAATGCCAAATGGTGATGGCATCGTTGGTGTTGATGGATTGCAAAATCTTTGTATTTTGTCTTTCCGTGGTTGTCAGCTCACTGGTCCCTTACCTATATGATTATCCAAAATAAAAAAAGCTAGAGGTCTTGGATTTGTCCTCTAATAGATTCACAGGCTCAGTTCCAACATGGTTCGGGAATTTTCCAAGCCTCTTTCACATAAACTTAGGCAACAACCGAATTTCAGGTGAGCTTCCAAAGCAACTTTGCAAATTACCAATGTTGGTGTCTGAATAAACTACAGCTCAAGTAGATCATACTTATCTCCAATTGCCTTTCTTCATCATACTAGCAAGTGATGCAGACTTTTTGCAGTACAGTTCCCTTTCTTTCTTTCCACCAGCTACACACCTATACAAAAATAGCATCAATGGGAATATACCAACTGAGATCAGCCAATCGGTCCTTCTTCATACATTAAATCTTGACGACAAAAATTTCTCTGGAAACATTCCCAATAAAATATCCAACTTGAAAAACTTGGAGACGTTGGATCTTTCAATGAACCACTTGTCTGGAGAAATCCCACCATCATTGACGAGCCTTAATTTCTTGTCCTTTTTTAATGTCTCATACAATAATCTCGAAGGTCCAATACTAAAAAGCACTCAGCTCCAAGGCTTTGATGCCTCTGCCTTTGAAGGGAATCCGAAACTTTGTGGTGCCCCTCTTCAGAATGAATGTCCTCTAATGCACCGTAAAAGCCAAGATATGGAGAATGTCTCACCTACACATCAACACATCAACACATCAACACATCAAACTTGGAAAACCAAAAACCCTTACTAGGTTTTGAGACAAAGTGTGGCTTTTATAGAAAAGGCACATGAAGGAAGAGAGAGAACTCTCTCTATTGTGGCCCACCAAGAAAGGGGGGAGTGGGCCTCACTTGGGTCCTTGAATTTGTGTTTTCATACAACACTTATTCTTGGGCCCAATAGGCTTTTGGGTATTTTGCATTTTTTCATATTAAATCAAATTTGAAGCCCAACCCAATTCCAAATGTCAAAGTTAATTCTATAACTTGTAATTATGAATAATAACTTAACCATTAAGTTACACTTATAGTCTTACTATTTGACTCGGTCAATAACTTCGGTCAATAATGTTGACTTTGACCTTTGTCTTTTGGTTGTTGACTTTTGTCTTGTAGTTTCTTTTCTCTTCATTTGTTCCTCTAATCACATTTCTCAGTGTGTGATTCATATGTTCCTTTTAGCAAGGTAGTGGTTTGACTCAACTTCTCTGAGTTGATTTGCGAATTAAATCTCACCCTTTCATTCTTCCTACTGGTGAAGGATAACTAAGTTTGAACTTTTCAAGACTTCCACAAACCATGGTTAAAGCCTAGGAGTATATCATGGTTATCCAAGCTAAATAGGGTATAGTGAAGAACCTATTCAAATTGGAATGACTGTGCAATTGAATCATTCTCTTAACATTTATAGTATATTAAATTAGTCTATCTAATTATATTTTAGGTAATGTACAATTTCCTTTCTTTTTTATTTTATTTTATAATATTACCCTTTAATTTCTTGATGGCTAAAATCTGTCAAGTAAAGAGATGTTAAGTGTCAACAAAAACATATGTTGACAGTTTAAAAGCGTCAAGGTTGACTGTACGTTGATGGTTTTCATAGAAAAGTGACGCTTTTAAGACGTCAAAAGAATCCTTTCCGTGACGGATAAAAGGCGTCAAGGATGTGGGTACCCCTTTCCTGACATTGGCATTCCTGGTGCTTTTTGAGCCGTTAGCTAATGGCTATAGTGACACTTTTTAGTTGTCGGCAAATGGTGTTATTCTTGTAGTCTCATTAAGTAGTCCTTTCATCACTTTCAATCTTTGGAAATTTGACTATATAGAACACGAAGAATTAGGGGTGTACAAGATCCAATTCAATCTGGTCCGTTCGATCGATCCAATTCAATCCAATCCAATTTCTATCGGTTTCGATGATTTGGCGAATTGAATTGGATATGTAATTTTTAAAACCAACATGATTGGATCGGATGACGAATTTACTTATAGAATCCAATCAAATTCAATCCAATATGGTTCGTTTTATGCTTATTTTGTTCTTGTAGGCATTTGTAGTTGAAAAGGTTATGAATATTTTAAGTCATTTGATGAAGTTATGTTTAATATATTATATAATCAAAATAAATTTTTTTTTAAGTATTTCATTTATATTTTACATTAACGTCTATTAATATGTTTGATTAGATTAAACTTAAGGATAAATGTTTAATATTTAATTATTGTCTTTTTCATTATCAAAACCGATCATCCAATCTAATCAAATTCAATATCAATTGGATCGGATTGAATTGAATTTAAACATTTAATATGATTGGATCATATTGAAAAAATCACAATCCAATTTATATTGGATCGGATGCGGTTATGAATGAACTAAGTTGTATTGGTTTTGAACCAACGTACACCCGTACGAAGAATATAGTCAAATTTCCAATGCAGTTGATTACCATAAATATATATTAGAAAACATGTTATCCACCAGTCCACCAACTCATTATCCACCACTGTCTTAGTTTTATGTTTGTATTAGTTGCATCCACCATGTACCACTTTGTATTGTCTCTTAGTTTACTATTATCAATCTGGTATAAATACCTCCTATATGGAGATGAATCAATCAAGCAAAATATCATTGAATCATCAAATCTTTCATGGTATTAGAGCTAACGCCACCGCCGTCACCGGCCGCCATTTCCCATCGCCGTCCTGCCACTGCCTGCAGGGGACCAACTCCGTTGCCCTTTATTCACCTTTATAAAAAAAAAAAGGATTTTGTGTCAATAAAGGGACTCGAACCTTGACCCTCAAAGGAGGAGGGCTCACTCACAAACCACTACACCAAACTTGATTTTGTAATATTTATTCAGTTATACAATTTTTATATAAACGATCAACGGTTTAAAAAAAAATAATTTATTTCACCGCATATTCACGCAAAAACTGCAAATAAAAGCAGAAACTGCAACAAAAATTCAATGTAGATATCAATTATGTAAAAACAAAAACAAAAACGAAAACGAAAACATCAACAAAAACAAAAATTAATTTTATAGAAGCAAAATGGAGGAAACAAGATGAAAGTACTAAAATGGAAACCGCGGTGCAAAAACGGAAACTGCAATGTAGAAGCAGAAATTGCAATGCATAAACAGAAACTGCAATGCATAAACAGAAATTGCAATCAAAAAATGGAAACTACAATGCTGAGTCTGGGCAAAAATGCTCAGCTCTAGAGTTAAAAAAAAACAAAACAATAATTTTTTTTATATTCAAGACATGTTGGGAGAGGGGGAATCGGACTTAAGACCACCTAGAATGTAAAATAGGTTATTCATGTTTCTATTTTCTACATTGCACATTCCGCTTTCTGCATTGCAGTTCCCGTTTGCTGCAATGCAGTTTCTGTTTTCTGCAATACAGTTTCCGTTTTCTGCAATCTAATCAAAAAGGGAAATCAATGAATCTTTTTTTTAAAAAAGGGTATAATTGTCTTTTCAGTGATTAATATAAGGTGGGCCAACGAATATGAGCCTCTTCTTTGGCCAAATCCAAAACAAAGTTTCATTCCTAGGTATTAAAACCCAAACAGAAATATTGTTTGTCTCAAATGCTAATTAGTAAAGATAGTTATGTCTAATACCTAATTTTTCTTTTTTCCAATATCTATCTCTTCTCTACACGCATGCTTCCTCTTCATTCCCTTAAGCTTCATCTCTCTTTCTCCTGCCCAAACACTAGTGCTCCTCACCTTAATGCTTCCTTTCCTTTATTGAAATTCTATCTTGCCCATGTTGCCTCTTTCTTCTCTGTTTCCCGCGTGGTTTCTCTTCCCCATGATTTCTTTTGCTCTCCTTTTCTTTTCCTCTGCCAATCATCTCTTTCTACATCTTTACATGTTCCCGTTTTCCTATCCATTTTCCCTTTATTATTTCCCTTCACTTTTTCCCATGCTTCTTATTTTATTCCATTTACTCCCTTCAAATGAATTTTCTTTTATTTCCATTCCATCTCTTCATATTATATTTTTATCATCAAGCCATGTGTTTTCTCTCTCTACCTCTTTTCATGTTTTTGACATTCCCACTTCTATAACCATATTGGTAATAAGTTTAAGTGGTTATTTGTATTTATACTGACTCTTATGGCTGACGACCTTTATCTATCGTTTTTATCTTTTAAAAAAAGGGAAAAAAAGTCATTTGGGTATTTAATTGCATAATTCATTGATTAAAGTTCAATTCTTTAAGAAAAGAATAAAGTGTTGTTTTGCCCCTTGAACTATGACGCATTTCGAACTTACCTCCCTAAATTATTTCGTTTGCCGATTTAGCACTTGAACTCGATAAAAATAGGACTTGTCCAATATAGATCC